GCACTTGGGAGGCAGAGGCAGGCGGATCTCTATGAGTTCGAGACCAGCCTGGTCTACAAGAGCTAGTTCCAGGACAGGCTCCAAAACCACAGAGAAACCCTGTCTTGGAAATAACAACAACAACAAAAAGCTGATTGGGCCAGGTGGTACATGTCTTTAATCCCAGTACTCAGGAAGCAGAGGCAGGCAGATCTCTGCGAGGCCACACTGCTCTACAAAGCGAGTTACAGGACAGCCAGGGTTCTGTTACAGAGAAAAACCTTAAATCTTATTTTGTGGGGTGGCGGGGGAGAAAGGAGGAGGAGGAAGGAAAGAAAGAAAGAGGAAGGAGGATGAAGGAGGAGGAGGAAGGAAAGTGTGAAGTGTAATCAGAGACTACACATTAGTTTCCCAGATGCCTTGACCTGAATATTCACACAGAAACTATATTAATTACAACACTGTTTGGCCAATGGCTCAAGCATATTTCTAGCTAGCTCTTACATCTTAAATTAACCCATATTTATTAGTTTATATTTTACCATGAGAATGTGGCCCACTGGTAGGTCCTGGCTCAGATGTATTCCTAGCTAGCTCATATATTTTAAATTAACCCATTTTGAGTAATCTGTGTATCGTCACAAGGCCGTGGTTTACCAGTAAGGTTCTGGCATCTCTCTCCTTACTTTTGGCAGCTACATGGTGTCTCCCTGACCCTGCCTTCTTTCTCCCTGCATTCAGTTTAGTTTTCCTGCCTAGCTCTATCCTGCCCTGCCATTGGCCTAAGCAGCTTCTTTATTAACCAATGATAATAAAACATATTTACAGCATACAGAGGGGAACCCCACATCAAAGAAGACATCTACATGTTCAAAAACAAATAGTGATGAAACTTGGGGAAATGGTTTTGAAATACAAGCAAGGAGTTTAAAAAAAGAGTAAAAAGGTGTTTGAGATGTAGGCATTCTGGTTCACCTGGGCGGTTCCTTCAGGGGCCCACAGAAGTGTGCCAACTCTACTTTGACTTAAGGTCAGAGAACTTAGGCCTAGTCTTGCTCCTTCAAGATTATTGACCAGAGCTTTGACTTAAGGTATGGCTACTAACAAAGATAGCTTGACCTAGGGTGTGGTTATTTGGTGTTTTGGGTAATCACTTTATTTGTTCCTTGTATCATGATAAAAAAAATAGTCTTACTTTCTTCTCCTTTTTTGAATTGGGGTATTTATTTAAAGATCATAAGAAACAAGCATGGGCACACTCAATATGCACTGGAGGGCCCTCCTGTCACTGCTTACTCTGCCTAAACATACTCTACTTCCACCCTGAACATACGAACCCATCCAGGCTGGACCGTGACAGATGTTGTTCCAACTTGTGGTTTTGACAGGTTCCTAAATCCATGAGACAGAAGGGGCTGTTGAGATCGCTATGTGGGTAAAAGCGGTTGCTGCTAAGCCTGGTGACTTGAGTTCTATTCCCAGGACCCACTTCCTCAAGCCTTCACAGAGATGTCATGGCATACAGATGTGCAGACAGGCACACACACGCACAAACACACACACACACACACAGTATCTAAATAAATGTGAGCACCAACCATGTACAGACACAGGCAATGACTGGGGTCACAGGGCTACAGCTAAGGAATTCCCGGAAGCTGGAATAAGCAGGGAAGCCTCTCAGGAGCTTCTCATCTCACACATTAGCATCTACGTAGGGCATAAGAGCCTCGATAAAACTGGGCTTCATCCCTTCAAACTGCAGGGGGTGTTTACTTCAAGAAACAGTTCAGCAGGTGGTGGTGGCACACGCCTTTATTCCCTGTATTTGGGAGGCAGAGGCAGGCGATCTCTGTGAGTTTAAGGCCAGCTTGGTCTACAGAGCTAGCTCCAGGACAGCCAGGGCTGTCACACAGAGAAACCCTGTCTTGAAAAAAAAAAAGTATATTATGTTTGCGTTTAAAAACATATACATATATGTATGTGTGTAGACCACATGTGTGCAGTGGCCACAGAGTTCAGAAGAGGGTATTGTGTCCCCTGGACTTAAGAGTTACAGATGGTTGTGAGCCACTATGTAGGTGCTGGGAACTGAGCCTAGATCCTCTAGAAGGGCAGCAAGTGCTCTTAACTGCTGGGCTATCTAAAACCAAACACTGAAGTGTGCTCAACAGATCGGTAAGAACAATATTAAAGAGGTTTTGTATATGACAGTGAGACTTACACGCAGCCCTTTCATATATAGAGGTTTCTACTGTCGAGTAACAGCCCAACTCATTAGCAGGACTGGTAATCTACAAGCAGTGACTACCTAGAAATGTCAACGAAGACACGCGGGGCTAGACTTGCACCCCAATCCAAAATCCAGCTCCCAGGTGGGTGCTCGAAATGGAATCCTCTAGATCAGTCAGTGAGCCTGATCTGACTGCTAAGCCAACTCTCCAGCCTCAAAGATACTTTCATACATACTGTAAAGGTCAAGACACAGAGAGGCGCTCAGACACAAACCAAAGCCTGATGTAGGTGGGCTTCTTTAAAACACGAGCACTCGATATTGTTTTCTTTTGTATTTGATTGCTGTGTCCATCAACTCTGCTGTGTGTACAGGATGAAAGCACGTGTGTTCAAACAATCTTGAGTGGATGTGGAGGTCGGAGGACACACTCAGGCGTCAGTGGGTCTCCTTTGCTGGGTACAGCAGGCAAGCTGGCCCTGGGTAACAGGTGCTTACAGTACATTTGGCTTTTACACAGGCTCTGGAGATTTGAAATTGGGCCATCACTTACAAAGCACTCATGTTCACCAGGCCATGTCCCTGACACAACAGCGATTTTTCTGAGTTCTGTGTCCTAGCAAGTCACTCAACTTGAGGGCAGGCGACTCTGGTTTTTGATCATGTGTGTCTATATTGGTACAGGCTTGTGAATGCAGGCACCCACAGAGGTCAGAAGAGGGCGCTGGAACTCCTGGAACTGGAGTTACAGTTGGTAGTCCTCTGTGTAACAACCCTGGCTGTCCTGAAACTTAATCTGTAGACCAGGCTGGCCTCAAACTTACCTCTGTGAGTTCTGCCTGCCTCTGCCTCCCTAGAGCTGGGGTTAAAGGCGCGCGCCGCCACTGCCCAGGGTAATTTGTGTTCTAACCAGTCACTACTCTAGCACCTTTATTTGTGTGTATGTGCGTATGTGGAGGTCAGAAGAGAGCTCGGGGCCCAAACTTAATGGCAAGTACCTTTACCTGCTAAGGATCTCGCTCATTTCTTTCTCCACATATAGAGTTGTCTCCCAGGCTTGCTTTTTACTTGCAATACTCCCAAGAATGTTAGCTTAATAACCTAGAACTCTGGTCATTCTGCCTTCATCTACTTACTGAGGGCTGGGATTACAGGGGGATGCTACCCGACCTGGCTAGCTACTCTTTCTAAGTGAGATTCTGAAAAACTACAAGTCATCTCTGCAAACTCTCTGGACTCCATTTAGAAAATTTTAATGCATGAATAAAAAATATCAAGATCTGTAAAGACACACTTGTAAGCATAATACAGTTGCATGGGTAAAGAATGAAGGGAATGAAGCCAGGTGGTGGTGGTGCACACCTTTAATCCCAGCAATTGGAAGGCAGATCTCTGAGTTCGAGGCCAGCCTGGTCCATGGAGTGAGTTCCAAGACAGCTAGGACTGTTAAAAAAAAAAAAAAATGAAGAGACAAGGGGACCCTCACCTGAAACCTTCTGGTTAATACAAAACTACAAAGAAAACAGGAAATCCAGAGAATCTATCAGATTTTCCTAGGAACTGGATGGTGCACCAACAGGAGAATCTTTCAAACCAGCTGCATTTTGCCAATGCCCTCCTTAAAATGTACATGTCCTGTTTCTCTCCAGGGACAACAGTCTGGGTCTATGATCCTCCAGCTTGAAGCCATCAGGAAAGTTTCATGGCCAGCTTGAGTCTCTTTCATCACAGTGTCCATCAACTCACACAGACCTAGACGTGCCTGGGAAGAGGGAATCACACTTGAGGAATAGACTCCATGATACTGGCCTGTGGGCATGGCTATCAGCGTTTTCTTGATTAGTGACTGGTGTAGGAGGGCTGAGCCACTGTGAGCCTGCTATCCTTGGGGTTTTTCTGGGCTGTATCAGAAAGATGGCTGGCCAGACACTGGTGGTGCATACTTTTGATCCCAGCACTTGGGAGGCAGAGGCAGGCAAATCTCTGAGTTCTAGGACAGACAGCCAAAGCTACACAGAGAATCCCTGTCTGAAGAAACAAAAACTGAAACAAAAATAAAGATAACTGAGTCCGGGGGAAGCAAGCCTGCAAGCAGCATTCCTCTGTGGTTTCTTCCCCAAGCTCCTGCTTTGGGTTCTTGCCTTGCCGTTCCTAGATGACTGACTGAAGGCTACAAGAAAGGGGTACAGTCTTGATGGCTCACAGATAAAGGGAGCATTTGGCACCAAGGCTGATGCTCTGAGTTAGATCCCTTGGACCCACAAGGTAGAGAGGGTATTGACTCCTGCCAGGAAGATCTCTATATTCAAGGCCAGCCTGGTCTACATATTGAGTTCCAGGCTAACCAGGGCTACATAGAGACATTGTGTTTTAGAAACAAATCCCAAACCCCCACACACTAACATATATTTAAGGAGTGGAAAGAATTCTGGAGCTGAAGATGTCTGGAGAAATGACTCATCTCCATCCACTCAATCCACGTGTATTGTGCACGTGTCCCATTCCCATGCAGGGCGCTGTGCTAGGTATGAGATGAGGCACAGAGCATAGGCACGGATAAGCAGCCATGTAAAAGATAGAGCACAGACTGTTCTTCTATAGGTCCTGAATTCAATTCCCGGCAACCACATGGCGGCTCACAACCATCTGTAATGGGATCTGGCGCCCTCTTCTGGCCTGCAGCATACATTCAGACAGAACATTGTATATGTAATAAAAATAAGTAAATCTTGAAAAAAAAAAGGATTCATTATACTTACACACACACACAAATACAAAATACACACTGTTAATTTCTGATTTTTTTATTTTGTTTCGAAAGGCTGGATAAAGGCATCTTACACTTGAGAACTTATTAACATGAGAAAAGGCACTTACACAAAACAGGGAAGGAGGAAAGGCCATGGTTAACATGAGAAAAGGCACACACTTACACAAAACAAGGGAAGGAGGAAAGGCCATGATTGTCGAAAGGGAATATAAGCCCCAAATAAATTATCTTACAAAAACATCACACTTGCTTTTCCACTTTTTTACTACTGGTAAAAACAAAAAGAAAAAAATTCACATTAAAACTTATCTTTATGCTGGTATTACAAGTTAAGACCACAATTTTTTACATATTAAGTCAGTCAAATAAATATTTTACACAAATTTAAGTTTAAAAAAAAATAGGTCAAGTATTTACCCGCTATTTCTTCAGTCCGTTAAAAGACCATTTCTCAACCTGATATTACACTGGACCGTGACACTCTGCATGGTCCCACGTGCATGGCTGCGGCAGGGTGCACACGGGAGCATGCTGTGCACATGTGACCCGACTAACAGCGCTGTGTACTTCCCTAAGTGGCTTCACTGTGAGGAATACAGACCCTCCGTCCTGTGTCTTGTCTCATGCTGTCAGGAAAGACAGAGGACGCTAACACTGGCTACGGCAGACACTTGCTCAGGTGCTGTAAAAATGCAGAGTCCACTAACTTCACAGACCCAGAGACGCTGAACAGAGGAACAGTGAGTGCCCTAAGGGGTGGGAGGGGCAACGACATAAGACTACAAGGATTATAGAGTCCCGGGCTCTAGCTGTCCTTCCTGCTGTTTTCTCAGCCTCTGATCTTGATGAAGATTTAATGGTGTGACATTCTTCTGTCCTATCGACCGACTTTAAGAACAGTGGAAAAGAACGCAGACTTTAAAGCTAGTTTGATATTTATGCTAAAGACAAAATCGAACTATGATTTTGTCCACGCCATTCAGCTCACTTCTTACTGAAATACTACTTTTTTTTGGGGGGGAGGGGGGCTCAAAGTATAGTTTCTCTGTGTAACAGTCCTGGCTGTCCTGGAACTTGTTCTGTAGACCAGGTGGGATTCACCTGCTTCTGCCTCCCAAGTGCTGGGATTAAGGTGTGTGTCGCCACACCAGGTCTCTTACTGAAGTATTACAATGCAAATCCAGCAACACTTTCCATTTCCGGTGGTCCAAGAGATAATTCACCTTTTTAAAGTCAGATACAACTAGGCTGAGGACAGAAACAGCAAACCCTCAAACCAAAGCCAAGCCCTCAAAATGCTAAAACACCAGCACTTTCCATCCAGGATAGAAAAATGAACATCCGAAGTAAAGAGAGCCGCAGGACTGGTCAAGCAGCCAATCAAACACCACCTCCCTGTTACTGGAGCTGATGGTTACTCGGAGCTTGGCACCGCCTCCTTCACTGCTGTTGGCAGTTCCTAGAGTCACAGCTTCGATGTCAAATGTGACAGTGGATCCAGAGGTGACTGCAGGCAACTGATTAGTCATTTCTTTTCCATTGACAAAAACTGCACCTAAGACATTAGGAGACATTCACCCAAGAGCAATGACTGAGAGAATCAAAACAGCTTCTAGATTATTGATCCCTACTTCAGAAAAAGAAACTCCAGAAAATCGGATATTATTAATGAACTTAAATAGAGAATAACCCACATTCCCACAGCCAGAGCAAAAATTCAAGTTTTTATGACATTTCAGAATTGTGGTATGGGGTTGGAATTTTCCAGGATAGTCTACGAGTTTCCCATGAGAACTGCATAGAAAGAAACACCACAGAGCTCAGCTCTGAACAGCAATACAATTTCATAGGCAATAAACAAGAATCTTGGTCTATCTAATGTTTGATCTTATGCCACAAAATATTAATGTTAGCTTAGGAGTCATTTATTCATTTTCTTCCCCCAGAGATGGAGGGGAAAAAACATCCCAGATTGGTATCAAATTCCCAAGTGCTGGGATTATAGGTGTGTGCTACCATGCCTGGATCTGGGGAGTGATTTTGAAAGCATAAATACTATGCAGTGAGGGGCTGAAAATACTTATTATATATGTACGATGTTTATGTAAATGTGGGTTCCAGGATTAAACTCAGGTTGTTGGATTTGCATGGCAAGGGCTTTATCTGCTGAGACAACCGACCAGCCTTAGCTAGTTTGTGTGAGGTTTGTTTGGGGAGGTGACTTTCATTCAGGTCAGTCCCAGTTACTGGTCTTTTTTAAGGGCGCAGTCATAGGTGTCTTACCATTTGTGCTTATGCATACAGCTTGATCCCGCTGCAGAGAGTCATAGCCGTTCTGCTTTTCTGCGCACACTCCTATACTGTCTCTTCTGTCTGGCTGCCCCACAGTTTCAACTCTATAATTGAAGTAGAAAGGTCATTTCATCACTCTCTGTTTTAAATGAACATGGGACTGGCAAGATAGTTCAGTGGTTAGGAGTACTTGCTGCTCTTGCAGGGATGAGAGTTCAGTACCCAGCACCTACATCAAGTAACTTTTAAAAAAAAAAATATTTATTTATTTATTTATTATGTATACAATATTCTGTCTGCAGGCCAGAAGAGGGCACCAGACCTCATTATGGATGGTTGTGAGCCACCATGTGGTTGCTGGGATTTGAACTCAGGACCTTTGGAAGAACAGGCAATGCTCCTAACCACTGAGCCATCTCTCCAGCCCCCTACATCAGGTAACTTAAACCACCTGTAAGTCCAGCTTCAAGGGATCTAATTTGTTCTAGTCTCCAAGACACTTGCACACACATAACTTACATCCACACACATAAACAAAAAAATAAATAAATATTTTTTTAAATTTTCATTTATTTATGTATTATTTACTTACTTACTTATTTATTATACAATATTTGTCTGTGTGTATGCCTGCAGGCCAGGAGAGAGCACCAGACCTCAGTACAGATGGTTGTGAGCCACCATGTGGTTGCTGGGAATTGAACTCAGGACCTCTGGAAGAGCAGCCAGTGCTCTTA